TAAAGACTTGGCATTGATGAATATAGTACAGACTATGTTCACCAATATAATAAATCTTTTGTGCAGATTGCATATTTTAAGAAATGTACTTGCGAATTGTAAGAAATTTTTTAAGTGCAAAGAGAAATTGGAGGCATTCATGTCAAGGTAGAACATCGTTGTGTTTTATTCTACCAATGATGAGTACTAAAGGCATCTAAGTTTATTGAAAATTGGTTACTAAACTTATCCAAGAGCAATCAAATATTTGAAAGAGCAGGGGAAGACAAAATATAAAGATAAATTTATTACTATTTAGTCAAACAAAATAATGTACTGTGATAATGTTACAACAAATAAGTATGATTTTTATTGCATTTTTAAGATTATTTTGATTTTCACAATTCATAACAAAACAATCATTGTAATATACCTTTTTAAATTCATTTAAAGTCGAGAGTGTACATGTAAAGTTGAAGAGGCACCTTGAATCATCTTAAAGGGATTTTGAATCAACTCACTTATTGAGCTCCAATATACAGAGATAAAGGATTAATTTAAGAGAAGTCTTATGGTTATTAAATATAATTACAAGCCAACATTGTTTAAAAAGTTGTGAGGTTTGATATTGAGTAGCCCATTTAATATGATTTTGATGAAAGCCAAATGAGCAAATCATTTTAGGATTGACAAGTTGACTTATGGTTACATGATTAGATGCACGCATAAATTATATTGTGCTATTGAAATTGTATAGCATATAAGGGTGAAAAGCCTAATTTCTTTATTTGAATTGCATCATATTGGACGAAGTTAGACTTATTAAAAAGCCAAGTTAATGAGGTATCCTTTAAGTTAACCATTATATTTGAGGTCAATCAAATCATAAAATGTTTTAACGAATGTGATAGAATTGGTAAATTAGCTATGAAAAAAAGTTAAGAGAATTAGATGACCGGTTAACAATTTTCCTGTTCCACCATTGAAATGGCTAAGACAAATGGTCATTGAACTATAAAAGCAGATATATCTACAAGATATGACCCTTTGTATAAGAGATTATGTTATCTGCAAAGATAGTTAAGTGAAAATGACAATGTAGATGAATACATTTCCCATTCATCATTCCCAAGGTAAACGAAAAATGCTATATTTGAATAGTTTACCCTTGGAGTTACATCGATACATATAAGATATCATGGATGTTGAGATAAATGGACACTATAGTTTTTATTTTTGTTGCTGGGTTATTTGAAATGAATTTAGATGGTTGCGCATAGGTGAGATGAGATTTAATTGATGAGTTTAATGGATATTGAGGTGAATATGTGATGTTGTGTGAACCATTGAGTGTATTAAGAAGTTAGAACCTTTATTGAGTTTCGAGACTTGTGCCTCATAAGATAAGTTGATAGCATTATTTAATGTGGATCCTTTGATAGCCTAATGGTATGACATCATCCTAGTCTACATCAGTTCAAAACAGTGTTTGACATATCTTCCACTTAGATTTGTACCACCTATACCATTGGAGTACTTAGTCATTATGGTTAAATTTGTTAATGATTATCATTTTGTGTAGGCACTAAGAATTATATTTAATATTTGTCATGTTTTATATCTAAATAGTTATATACCATAAACATTTTAACAAATCTTTTTTTGTATGACTAATGAATCATGTCTCAACAATCCTTCCGATTGCTTGCAATTGGCATAATCATCGATATGTTTATGTTCAGGGATAAAGCGCTCCATATGTATCTTGTATCGAGGATTTCAAGTTATTATTTATCAAAAACTTTGATATGGCTACTTAAGAAACCATTAGCCTAAATTGGTGACTTTGATACATTAGAATAATTGTATTTATTTCAATATTGAGTTTTTATTTATGTATAAGTTAGAATAATTGTATTTGTTAGAATAATATTTTTTATTAAATCCATTTGTGGCATGTTAGTAAGTTTAATATTAAATCGATGTGTTATATGTTACTAGGTTCTTTAGCAAGCTTTTAAGGTTTATGTACCAAACTACTATATTGTATGTTATATATTCTTTAACAGGTTCTTCAATATCCATAAGCAATTTGTACAAATACATGTATATGACTATCGGTTGTTATATTAACATAAATTTAAATATATTTTAAATTACAAAATCAATATCTTTGAACAAATATATGCTAAAAAGAAACTTACATATAAAGTCTTAATCACTCCCTGTTTTATTTTGCAAATAAACATGTTTAGGTTTAATGGGACAGTTGTTGATGAGAAAGTTGTTGTACTATCATTTATCACCTCACAACATTTGATTTTTTTTTCTTAATAGCATTCTTATTTAAAGAACAAGCTAGCCCATTCATTACCATGTCTTGTATGATGAAAAGAATTTCAAATTAGCATCTTGAGTGCTAATGTCTGCAGTAAGATTGTTTTCATCATATAAGATATTGTAATAAGTGGGTTGTTCTTGAATAAGAATGTTATTGACATAAAAAATCAATTTTTATGGGGTGAAAAATGCTAGTATTATTAACCTTCTAAGCAACATATTCTTTAACTCGTTGTCTTCTTTCAAATATAGTTGAATGCCTCAATCTCATCAACATTATCTCCTTTCATTTGTACCATGTCTATTGTGACATAGAACACAATATCAAACACTTAATCATTTCATTCAAAAGAATTCAACAATTTAACAATTTAACATATAACAATTTAACAATGGTTTGGGGTTTAGTAGTTAGAATTTGAGTTTAGGGTTGTGGTTTAAGGTTTATAGAGTAGTGTTTAGTGTTTTGGAGTTTGGGTTTTAAGGTTTAAGGTTGCATTTGGCATATGGGATTAATTGAAAGATAAGATATTAATCATCCTATCACACGTTTGTTATGTACTTAAATAAAGGATTGTATTATTGAAAGGATTAAATATTTTATGCTAATAGAATAACTCTATGCTTTAGAAAGGTAAAAGATTATTTTTAATTCATGGGATTAAACTTGCATATGTTATTATACTCTTAAAAATTATATTAATAATTTAAATTGTATAGACTTTAAAGAAGGATAATTTTGATCAATAAATAAATTATTCAATCTTAATCCTTACACACATCAAACATAAGATATGATGATATTATTTAATCTAATCTTATTCATAATATTATCTTATTTTATTATATCATAATCATGTGTACCAAAATGACCTAAGGGTATATACTTACGATTTGAGGTTTAAACTTTGGGGTTTTAAGGTTCTGATTTTACATTTTTGGATGCTTTTTAAGTTTTTGGATCGACATATTTGTAAATTTTTATAAGTTTTCAAATTTACATTTTTAAAAATTTTTACAAGTTTTCAAAATTGTATTTCCTGAAGCTTTTGCAAATTTCCAAATTTTTAAATTCAGAAACTTTCAAAAGTTTCTAGATATGTGAATCCAAAAGCTATGAATTCCAATACAAATTTTAACTCAAATTTGTGAAATCAAATGCAACTTAAGTAAAATCAAACAAATTTAAAGGAAATTACTTTAAGTTTGATGACTTGATTAATTCTAAATCTTAGTATTTTGGGGTGATTTTTGGGTTAAAGATTGAAAGAGGGTGAACCGGTTTTATGGCAGAGATTTGGGTTTGAGAGTGTGATGGGTGTGAGGGTGTATGAGAAATGAAGGTTTAGGGTATGGGATATTACGAGTGAAAATTCGTTTTTAAGTTTTGAATATGCGGTACATTTAGTATTTGGATGGTTAAAGTAAATATGTGGTGCAAATAAAAGCACTCCGATCTTGCCGAATGTACTTGGCTCGTTAAAAAAGAAATTCACACACCTACTGTATAAGCTTTTTCATTTGAGCTTGATTGCTTGCAAATATATAACTATAGTAATGAATGTGAAGATAATATCATATTTGTTAATTTAATTGTGTTATATAAAATATTAATAATTTATATATTTATATTATATTTTAATTAAAATTATATATTATAATTTGTATTAATACGAAAATAAAATAATTTTTTTATTTTTATTAAACTTTTATATAATTTTTATCAAAATTTTAACTCCTATGAATTTTGTATTTTTTTAATATTATTTTTCGTATCTTTTAAATTGTAAAAAACATGCACATAATTCTTTCTCATCTTGTTTTACACAGTTGGGATCTTCTATCATTATCTCTTTCACTATCGTTTTTGCAAATATGGATTTTGCACATCAAACTCATACCATACCTTTCTTTTTCTTATCATAAAAAAGAAATTGGCAACCTCAACTCAAATCCATCATGACATCAAATAGACAACCTTGATAAAAAAATGAAGTGATGATTTGGGATTGTGGGGCTTGTCTTTTAGATAAGGTTTTATACAGATGGATTAATAGACAGAACAAACATAAGTTGAGTAAAGAATACTTGGATTGTTTGTTTGAGAGTATTTACTTTACAACACTTCGATCCTACACTTTGATATATCTCCACGTCGAATTTGTTTCGCCTCAACATTGGTTTATCCTTAGGTACTTACCTAGTCAATATATTGCGCCTCTCAAAGTTTTTATTTTAGATTTTATATTTGATGCATGGAGAGTGTATAGATCAGTGAACTATGCAAACATAAATTTTGACAAATCCTTAAATTAAATACACAAAAACTTGATTTCTTTTAAAAATTTCTCGTTAATGACTGGCATTGATTCATTTGTGTGTGTATAATGGAGTGTCACTAGAGATTCAATTAATGTACCCAAAAAAGGAAAAAAAAAAAACTAGTAGTTGTAAATGTCACAAAGCAGAGAACAATGCAATTTAAAACTTATATATAGTAACAGTAGCAACCGGCCAATTCCCAGCTGGGAAAAGTTTTATATATAGGGAAAGCTCAAGGGCGGCTGTTGAGACCGTTGAAGTGTTATACTTAATAAACAAAAAGGGAAAAACGTGAAAGATGAGTCATATTGTGTACATGATAAAAGCTAGACAATTTCCTTTCCCTCCTTTTTGTCTGCTTTCATTTGTCAGTCTTGAAGCCTGGGCTCTTGCATTGTTGCCCGTTGTTATGTCCCTCCACATTCACCGTTCTTTTTTGCCTTTCTTTTTTCTTTGTTTTATTCTTTGTTTTGCAGTCCTTGTCTCCAAAACTCATGTATATCCCCAATGTCTTTTCCTCACACAGCATCTCCTTTATTCCATTCTTTTCACATTCTATGATTAATTCTTCATTATTCTTCATATCTGCTTTCCACCCACTAAGCCTCCTTCACAGCTCAGTTTCTATTGTCTATTAGCAAGATTTGATTTTCGGGTTTCGTGTCAAATTCTGTTTCCAACTGGATCACATTACAAAGGCAAAAGTGAGGATATCACCATCTTTTTCTGTCTGCAGTGGATTTTATGCGAGTGAAAAGCAAGTATTTGTATATACTAACTTTAGAATTACTGTTTATATTTTCTTTCGAATTTAATGAAAGTAAGTTTGAAGTAGATAGAATAAGGTATTTTGCATTTTTTGATGGAAAATATTGCCAGTTTGGTGTTTAATGCATGCTATTTTAGGTGGTTTAGGTAGTTGGATCATATTTATCTTTCTGGTTTTGTATGTGTCTCAATTGGTAGGTCTGCATCAGAGTTTGGTAGACACTTTCTTGTCAACGATAGAGTACAATGTTTCTTTTTTTGGCCAGGAGAGTACAATGTTTATGCTATGAAATGCTGGCATTCAGAAGTGAAATTTCCATGGAGTTTCCATTGAATAGTAAAAATGAATTTATTCTGGTGAAATCCCATTTCGGATTAAGTAAATTTATAGTTATTTATATGGTTATATCAACTCAATTTTCTCTCCCACTTGATGTTACTGGTTGAATGTTGGCCTTCTATGAATCTTTTTGGTTTTAGTGGACACTTGATGGAAGAAAATTGATTTCAGTTAGTACTATATTTCTAATCTCCTCACTTTCTGTTGCCCATTTTTCTTTCCTGCAGGATTCATTGTACAGGGGGGAAGTCTAATAGCATAAAGAAATGGAGTCATCTTTGGAGGAGCTTCTTGCAGAGGAAGGGTTTAGAGGAAGAAAATCCGGTGCGAGGTCAAGATCCTCCTTAAGATCAGAAGCTTTGAGCAAGACAGACTCTCCATTTAGTAACAGAGTTAAGACTGAGAGAAGAAGGTCTGATGTCTCTTGGAACAACTTGAGAGGGGAATTATCAAGAAGTGATAGTACCATCGGTAGGAGGCCACGAGATTTACTTGTTGGAAGAGAGAAAATAAATGGTGAATTAAAGAAAGAAAATAAAGAAAGACTTGAAGGAAGAGGTTCTATTGATAGGCAAGAAGATAATTGGTTGAATATCAATTCTTCAGAAGATTCTCAGAGAAATGAGATAGTTGAGATTGGTGTGGAAGAAAACGAGAGAGTGAAGGATGTCTTTGCTAATGAAGGGCGGCATAGCCTAGGGAGAAGAGGTAAGAGGAATGATATTGCTTCTTCTAAACATCTGCTTGGACGAAGAAGCTACAGTGACAAGCATCGAAACAGCCTGCAGCAGCGGGAGACTGCTTATGACAAAGCTAATAGAGGTTCACAGATTAGCAAAAGCTTTCAAGATGGCCAGCATCAAAAGCGTGATGATTTGGTACCAACAGTTTCTCATCCTGCTCTTGATAGAGTTGCTATTAGAGCAATTGTATCCATCTTATGTGGTTATATTAAACGTTTTCTCCAAAATGAGGAATTTAGGACTGCCCTTCACCACAACTGTTTCTCCTCCCTTAACTGTATCATGCTAGAAGACTATAACATTGAGGGCAAAATCATTGTCAACCTTGAACAAGCAATTGAGATAGTAGAAAAAGCCGTTGAAGAGTCTGTAAGTGCAAAAGAACTGAAAAAAGCTTCATTGCAGCTTAGTGTGATAACTGGCTTGAATTCAAATGATTTGAAGGATGGCTTCACATTTGGGGTTCCTAATGCTATGCTGTCATCGTGTGCTCATCTTTACCTCAGTGTGATATATAAGCTACAGAAAAAAGACAGGGTTTCAGCAAAGCATCTCTTGCAAGTGTTTTGTGATTCACCTTCTCAGGCACGGACGAATTTGTTGCCTGAACTGTGGGACAACCTATTTTTTCCGCATCTTTCACATCTGAAGGCTTGGTACAATCAGGAAGCTAATTCTCTATCAGATGCACCAAGCAAGAAAAGGAAACTGAAGCTTCTTGAGAAAGTGTATAACGAAATTATGGATTCTAGCACTTATCAGTTAGCTGTTTATTACAAGGATTGGCTCACAGAGGGGGTTGAAGCTCCTTCTTTTCCTTCCATCCATGTTCCATCTGTATCAGTTGGAAATGTTCTGCAGGAGGGTTCACCTCCTCATTCTCCAGATCTAGGTAGTCCAGCTGGTCCTTTCTCACCTCAGCCAATGGTGAGTAAAAAGTTATACGATGCTGTATTTGGCCGATCCAGTAAACCTGGACTAGAGGAAACTGAAGATAATTCGGAGTCACATAGCTATGATACATGTAGGAGAAGCTGTGATGGTTCTACTGTTGATGTTAAACAAACATTAACATACTCGTATGAGGAAGTTAAACATCCATATCAAGATATTGGTGAAGCTTCCTCCAAAAGTCCACAGGATGATGCATCCTTTCTTGTAAGTAACTTCTATCGTACACACACCCTCATTTTTTTTTTTCGCCATTTCATGGACAGGGCTAAGAGAGAGCCAAGGCGCCGGTCCTCTTGCTTTCTCAGGATGTTTGTTTAAAGTTGAGTGTTTCTCCTTTTAACGGAGGTTCATTACTGCATGATCAAGTTTTGCTCCCAAATACATATACCTTTACTCTTCATAACTATCCCTAACTACATTACATTCTGTTGCCTGTTGTATTTGCCATCTTTGCATTATTGATTTAGCAACAGGTCATAATGACAAATATAATAAAACCTGAAAGTCAGACAATTGTTTTACAAGAAATTTGAAAAAAAATCAGGAAGAAAAAATGCTTTCATCTTCATATTCAAAAGAATATGAGCAACTTCTAGTAGCTTGTTTGTGTGGAAAACAAGAAAGTAAATGATGAAAGCACTTAAGATGTGCCCATTTTGCTGAAGACTGTTTGTTCTGGCTTTCATGCATATATCATTTATAGTTCGATCATGCCATTTACTGCTATTGCTACTTTATCTATTACAAATTGTTTTATTTTCTAAGTACATCAAACAAATAAAATTATTAGTTGTCCGGTTGAGTTTTAGCATGCGAGAATCTGCTATCGCCTCTCATTAATACCAATACAGCTTTAGATTTGCTTGATTGGAAATGAATAGAATCTGCCAGTAATTCACATACAATGTTGGTGTGTTGGAAACAATGAAAATTTCACATAATGATACTCTTTTGTATTTATTCCAATACTTTCCATTTTTTTTCCAAATTAACTGCTGATTTAATCATGTGAGTAATTAAGCTTCAACAATTGCATGCATCAAAGATGATTTTCTTGAGATGCATAACATAGGCAATTAGACATAAAGCTTGTTCTGCATGCTGGGTTATTTAAGTGCTAGAGGCTTTTCTATTAGAAGCATATCATTCAGAAAATAACTAATATTGGCGTTTTTTTTCCAACTTTCATCTCAGAGGAATGTTTTGGAGTAACAATTTTGAGGATTTAACTATGCTGCAGGAAGATCGCATATCCTCAACGGCTGAGGAAGAATGGAGTCTGCCAGGACTAAGTATGCTGCGGGAAAAAGATATCCATTGTACCAATAATAGCACTAAAGCTGATAATACACGGCAAACAACCGCACGAGATTCTGATATGCTACAGGCACCTGTTCTTTTATCTGCCAATGAACTCATGCTCAAGCAGCTAGCAAAATCTGCATTTGAGCCGCAACAAACTGAGGGCACTGATGATCTTACTCTCTCTAGTCTTCAAAATCCTAGTGAGGAGCCGATGCACAGTTCTCTTGAAAATGTATGCATTCATCAAATTATTCTTCTCTTAAACATTTGTGTTCCCTTTTTATCTATGGTATGATGTGTTGTTATTTACTAATAAGTTCTTTTTATTTTATTTTTATGGAGAAGCCAAGTAAATTCAGGCCTTCCTTTGAAGGTAAGTTGAAGGGAAAATATTATGAATGCTTGTGCTTTATATTCAAGATTTTGAAATGATTGCTCATATTGGTCTTGTCCCAGTGCAGAGTTGCTAGAAAGTGATAGATATATTGATGAAAGATCCTTATTCTCAAGCATACCCAAGGACTTTATCTGCCGTCTGACAGGGAAATTGTTTGAAGAGCCGGTGACCCTGGAGACAGGCCAAACCTTTGAGAGAGAGGCCATCAAGGAATGGTTTAATCAGGGAAACAAAACTTGTCCAGTAACAGGAAAAATGTTGGAATATTTGTCAGTGCCGCTGACCAACTTTATTTTGAAACGTGTTATTGATAGTTGGAAATTGGAGAATTGTAGGCATACCTTGGCATTGGCCTTTCTAATAGTTGGGAATTCAAGGGAACATGGGTCACCAAGCAGGGGTGAAACAGCTACATTCATATTAGAGCAATGTATAACGACTTTAAGCAGAGAAGAAAGAATAATGAATATCAAACACCTTATTTCTCTTGGAGGCTTGCCATTTCTTATTCAAAGGTTTAAATCAGAAAATATGGAAGAGAAAACACGAGTTGCAATGCTTCTTTCCTGTTGTATTGAAGCAGATTCAGGTTGCAGATATGACATAGCAAGAGACATTAAAAAACAGTGTCTTTTTGAGCTGGTTTGCAGCAAGCAGGTTAAGTCAAGAAGAAATGCAGTGTTGTTACTGACTGAACTGATATGCTTGAGCAGGTTTGTGATATTTAATCTTTCTATGACAGTTTCTACATGTTTGCTTGCTTCCCATTCTGTGCAGCACATAGGGTAGATGGAAAAAATTGCTGAGGGGAAGTGACCAATTTAATTCTGAGAAGAGTTCCTTCTAATCTTTCTACTCCACCTCACTCTCCTCTCTTTGGGAGAGTGTGTGTATTTGAAGTGAGGAGGGGGAGCATGTATATATGTCCTATTTCTATTCCGGTAAGGGAGAGGTATAGTTTTGTATGTACCTTGATGTCCCTGGAATAATCCATATCTAAACTCGAGAAAATTATTATATTTAAAATTCTGTTTATGTTTAAATCCACGATCACCTGTTCAGATGCTTCTAATTTATTTATTGATCTGAACTCATGATGCTGCAAGGCTATTTTGGTCTCAGGTTTGTAGTTTTTGCAGATTCTAGCTCCATTTTCTTATTTAGTACTCAAAACCCCTAATAATCATGTTTTAATTTTCTTTTCTCTCTTTTGTGATGCTTAATCATAGATGACTTGTCCAATATTTGTTGAAAAAGACCCTTTTGTCTGTCTTGCCATTATCACCTGTAATTGTGTTTGTAGCAACATATTCCTAATAAAATAATTGAAATAAAAATGGTGAAATCACTCAATAGTATCCTCTAGATGTTGTGTTATAAGTCAAGGGGGATTGTCAATAAAGTATTTCCCTATTGCGGAAGTGACCTTAAAGCAAAAAACCGTAGCAAATATATATATAATTACGAAAGCATGGGCTAATCATGAGTGAGACTGATTCATTTGATATTGATTTAGATGAGCATTCCTTCCTTGTTCCCACTGATTCCATGTTTTGTCTTCATCATTACAGGAGGAAAGATGTCCCACTATTTCTGAGTGACCTGCAGCATGAAGAGATAATGGATGTTATGCATGCTCTTCATGTCTATCTCCAAAGTTCTCCTCCTGATCAAAGACCCTTGGTTGCTACACTTTTGTTGAACATAGATCTGCTGGTAAGGTTCTGACGTTAGATTTAGCAGTGTATTCTGATTTTTTTTTCTGATATATTCTGATTGTTTACTCTTTTTCTCATTTTCTTATTCTGATGTTATTTCTTAATATTGGACCAAGTCTTTTTGCCATGACCGCGACCAACACATGCAGCAGGCAGATCCTCCAAACTATGGCTTATACAGAGAGGAGGCTGTTGATGTCATTACAGCAGCACTAGATAGCTGCTTACTTGATGAGGAGGTTAGAGAAAATTGTTGCAGAGCACTGTTTATATTGGGAGGACGTTTTACTGTGTCTGGGAAGTTATTGACAGAGGGTTGGATTCTGAAGCTAGCAGGGTTCAATGATGATCGTGAAGTGAACTTTATTGAAAAAGACGAGGATTTAGAGGTTGATGACACTATTCTATTGGTAAGTTTCGTCTCTACGGTCCATTCACCATTGTTTCTCCTTTCTTCCATGATATTTATATAGGACTGGTATTGTTGTTGAAGAATTTAAATTCACTGCTCATAATTCTTTGTTATTGAGGGACAAGGCTGCAGTGGAACCAATTGATTTATGTTATGTGGCTTAGTTGAATCAAGTGAATGCATCTAAAACCTGACACCGGGTATAGTTAAATTGTTGCCTCTCAGTGTTTGTTATTCATTACTGGCAAAAATAACAACGATTTATCTTCTGAAGCAAAACAATTTGATGGAAGAAAAATTGCTTTTTTCCCCCTTAAACAGAAAATAAGGGAAAGTAAAGAGAGAGATAACTTCATATTTATTGCAGAAAAAGTGTGTGCTTGCTTTTATCTTATGAATTTTTAATTACCAACCAGGAAGATGAAGAATGTGCCAATGAAGAGTGGTTGAGGAATTTGTCAACATCACTAGTTGGAAGTGGCAAAAAATCATTTTTAGAGGCTATTTCTAAGTGTTTAGGCTCGGGAAACTCAGATTTGGTGACTGCCTGCCTAACTACTGTAGCGTGGTTGACCGGTGCACTTTCTTCAATAACTGATGCTCGGTTGCAGCTCTCTACCTTCTTTACTCTTATCTCTCAGCTGAAACAGAGCCTGGAAAATGGTGCACTAGTTCAACATAAGGTTCTTGCTTCAATATCTTTGCTGAACTTGAGTAAAATTTCAGGTTAGCAACTTTTGCTTAGTTCATTTCTTTAATAAAAAGTAACATTTGTAATATTGAACCATAGAGCTCAGCCCTCACCTGTGTGCTGAATTTAGCTCTTAAAACTTGTAGTGAGAAACAATCTAAACGTTCCATGTGGAGAACCAGAAATGGAGAGAACCCTACATCTGGTTGCCCCAGCATCTAGTTTGGAGGACAGGGGTATCCTGTTACTCTTTCGTTCAAGTTTTTACAGCCAATGATAAGAAACCATAGCTTTTAACCATGGAGGTTTCTGCCATGGGAAATATAAATGGTTTGCAATTGAAAGAAGAAATAGTGGAGTTGAAGTATGCTTTAAAATGACCGCTGGTGTATTGCAGAATGCAGGGTCCTGCTAATGACAATTGCAGAAGAGATTGCAGTTCCACTTGGAAGCATTGTTGATGTAACATGGACAGCAAAGCAGCTTTATGGCATAATATCTGGTTTGTTTGATTGTAATTAGAGAATTCAATGCTTAAACCCATATTGCAGTTCCAAAAAAAAAAAAAAAACTCGGCACCTCCTTGAAATGAGAAAAGCAGAAAGGCTGAAAGTGCATACTCCTACTTTTCTTGGACGAGAGAATTTTTCTTACTATTTTGCACTATAAACTTATAATAATGATAATAAATTATTAAAGAGTTCATTATTTATAAATTTAGTGCTTCGTATAAAATTTTAATAAATTTTATATAATTTTAAATTACAATTAATTAATTATACTACAATTATTATAATTATATCTGAACTGTATGAAAGATGAAAACTTTGTATTAAGGGAAAAGACAATAATATGAAATTTTTGTATGGTCACCTACTCAACTCAGCTCTTGGCTTATGCAGTTCTTGAACCTCAACCTCATCACTACAAAAAGAGGATAAAGATAACTTCAGGATTAATTACTTTATTTATGAATTTCATAATAATAAAAATATATATCTTGCTGAAATGAAATTTGTAACTTCAACTTCGTTTATAAATTTTATATTTATAGAAATATATGTCGGTAACCTCACGAATTAATTTCGTTGTATATGAATTTCATAATAATAAAAATATATGTCCTACGAACACTGAATTTGTAACTTACTTTATTTATGAATTTTATAATAATAAAAACACATGTCCTATCAAAACATAATTTGTATCTTATGCAGTGGCTTTTGAACCTCAACTTTCTACTTGGACTAGGTACGTGGGCATAAAAGACTCTTAAGATTTAACTATTCTAAGGTTTAGCTACCCAAGCTACTACGTAATATAAGCTAAACAGAACAAGAGAGATATAGGCAAGAGTATTATACATTATTCAAGGTTCTAGTGTGTACAACTAGAGAGATATACTAGAGGCTCCTTTATATTAAGGTTAGAGAGAAAGAGATGCATATATATATATATTTATTAGGGAATTGTTTTTGGTAATATTATCTAATAAATAACAAAACACAACATTAATTAGAATTCTTACTACTATAAGCTATTAGAATAACAATATTTAGGGGGTATTGCAAGGCTACTGAGAGAGAATGCGTGCAAAGATTCTTTGGGTTGGTTTGGATAACCATCGAAAGATACTTATTGTATTTTAATATTTTAATAGCAGAAGAACTATTTACTCATGAGTGTAGGCAAGTGAAATCACATAAATTCTTTTTTTTGGAAAGAAATAAACTTAATTAATTTACTGCTGCATAGTCCTGCTCGACTATTACATTTAACATGTTTGGGAATCCCTCTAGCCACACTTTCCTATCACCATTCTCCAGAGCCAATTTTACTAAATAGTGGGCCGCCTTATTTCCTTCATTCTTTATTACATACATGCATTCCCAAGATTTGAAGCCATGCGGTCTCACTTTGACATCACTAAAAATCTAATCTCCTGTAATGCCAAAATTTGATTTCGCAGACCATAAATTTGTTTTTTTTATAAACTTTTTAAATGTTTTATTCAAGGGACAAATTTTTTTATAGCTAATCAATCACACCCAAAAAAAATTTGTGATGACTCTTTGTTTTAATTTTCATCGAAAAATAAATTTTTTTAAGCCCATGTTTTTCTCATTCCCCCAATGCTCCTTGGACTCGAAATGTTGCGACAATAACGTTCTCGATAAGATTGTTGCCAAAGCCTTAGCTAATAGGCTAAAAAAAGTTATACCTTTTTGTATAAGCAAAAACCAAAGTGCATTTGTCTCACAAACAATGTACTCATTACATATGAACTGATGCATACTCTAAAACTCAAAGATAATGGTAAGACTGGTTATGGGGCAATAAAATTGGAAATGAGTAAAGCATACGATAGGATAGAACGGGGCTTCATTGAATCTGTTATGAGAAGGTTGAGTTTCTGCAAAAAATGGATATCATAATAAAAAATCCAACAAAAATATATAATTTCAACAAATATATAACCAAAACCCCAACAAATTTCAACAAATATAAAATAAAAAAAAATTCAACAAATTGGTAACCAAAACCCAAACAATTTTTAACAAATAAATAACCAACAAAAACTCAAGAAATTAGTAAGCAAAACCCAAACAAATTTCAATAAATTTATAACAAAAAAATTAAACCCTAAACTCAACAAATACACTACACAAAATACATGATAAAATAAAATATTTAATAAAAAATTATCAAACAGAAAGGGAGACTTGATTGGCCGGTTGGTGCAATCGGACAGTAGGCAGGACTTTGGTTGCCTATAGGGAAAGGGGGAAGGGAGAGTGGGAAAAGGGAGGGGAGAAAAGTTAAGGGTAAGGATATGAAGAAACAATTAGGGGAAATCAATGTTTGCCTAATTAGGAATTCAAATTTTTTTTATCTTACTAATGGATTTAACAATGGTATTTTTGTGGGTAACATGTAATTTTTTTTTCAAAATTTTTTACTGACAGATTTAGCGATGAAATTTTCATCGATAATGTGTAATTTTTCTTTTGCAAATATTTTTACGAATGGATTATTTTGTCACTAAATCCGTAGGAATCTTTTCCCAATAAAAAATTTCGTCAGTAAAATTCGAGCAATTCACACCAAACTATCACTTACAAATTACCAATGAAATTAAATCTATCGATAATCCATCGATAAAATTTTTTTTTTTTAAATTATGTCGATATTCCATCAATATTTAATAATGAAAAAATTTTGTCGATAAAATTCCATCAATATTAACTGTAATTTTGGTAGTGTAAGCTCAAAACTTATTAATTCCATCCTTTTTTTTCTCTTTTTCCCAAATTTAAATTTAAATATGCAGTAGGTAAGCCATAATATTTCCTATAGTTAATTTCAATATATTTTCAATCTCTTTTATTCATAGTTATTAATTTTGTTTTGGTATCGGTCGTACGGTCGGTTTGCTCCAGTTATACAAAAATACGATATACTTAAGGATAATTTTTTGTATCGAATTTGGTACCAGATAATTCCAATTGTTTTTATTAGTTTTAACTTGTTTTAGTGAATTTCAGTAGAATAGTATATTTCGATCGGTACATAAATATGAAATATATTTTGTAATTTTTAACATATTTTTTGTTATTTAACTATTTTTAACCTAATAAAAAGTTGAGTTTCTTTATTTTTTATTTTAATTTTTTTTCTACTTTATTTTTTTAAAACCAAAATTTATAATTTTATTTTTTATTTTTTCAAACTAAAATTTATAAGTATTTTCTATCTTTTCAAGAAAACAATTATACTCATTTTATAAAGTTTAATAATCATAAAGTTTTTTTTTAATTTTTTAATTTTTATCTTAATATTTATATGCATAAAATACTTATTTAAATATCATATGATCAAATTAAGTGTTTAAAAATATCGTGAAAACTTATGATATTATTTTTTATGTTTTTAAACTTATTTATTTGATTTGAATATATTGCATATTTATTTTATGACTTATTAATAATATTATAATATATTTATGCATATTTATAAATATATTTATATTAAATCAAAAATTTAAAATAAAATATCAAAACAACTGATATTAATATATATTATATTTTTTAAAAAAATCAAAATATTATCTGATTAAACATTAATTACTTTGCTTTTTACTTTTAAATTAAGGTTATTATCACAACTTTTATTATTTTGCTGTTAACAGTTGTAAACTTCAGAGGTGATATTAATTTGGAGTGAAGACGTTAATAACAGTGACAGCAACCATCATTAAAGCTTTTTGAATTATTTTGGTAGATACTCTTTTTGACTGTGTTACAGAAACTCTGCTCTCCGTAATGATTTACATTTTAACGTTGTGCTCAGCTGGCTACGCTCTTCAGAGTGGATGGCTCAATGACAAGGATGTACAACTGTAAGATTGCATTTATGTCATCAAACATTCAACTTAAAAGAGCTGACTTTCTTAAAACGTCGAATGCTTGTTGTTTCTTTAATTGGTTGTGTTGTCACATGATTATTATTCAACGCATTGGTCATGTTTGCCGTGGCTTAAATAGTTTTCTAATCGGAATGAAGAATTGGCCACCTTATTTGCTTCATCGTCATTGAAATATATCACCATGAAATTGTTTACTTTTAAAAGCATATTAACTTCTAGAAAGGTTACTGTCCCTTCTCTTCTACTTTAATTAAGCTATCGATATCACTCTTGATTTCTTCAAGTGGTAAACGTTTAAAGTTTTATAAAGATAGAAAATTAATTATTCTATCTACCTTACCCAACATCAAATCGTTTTAAGGACCGCCCAGTTATTGCTGCAAGGTACAATTTGTTGTTTTCTATCTTCATGCCTATATCATAGGCCGTGGGCACACACCCGAGGCGCAGACGCGGAATTAGGGTCTTCGGGTGCATATTCAAGCCCCATGACACGTATACAAATGGGAATTTTTTTTTTTAACATAGAATAGACATGTTCATAAAATAAAAAAGGAGAAAAAGTTTTGGTTCCAAATCAAAAATTTTTTAATCATTAAAGAGGATAGTGGGAAGGGTTTCTTTCATGGACAAATGTGATAATTACTGCTTATAATCGATCATACGGATGGATACGAGGTTAAGATATATATATGTAATAAAATAGTTATGAATTTTTTAATTGTTTCCTTTGATTTAATACTTAGAATTAGTAATTTAATTTTTTGACTTTGGATTATTTTGACTATGTAGAACTATATGTTTGACTTGAAAGTTGATAAGCAGTTGGCATTACAACTTTTAGTTAATGGTTCGGCTATCGGCTTGTTGCTTAATGGGGCCAAGTTTTCATTTTTGTTAAAAATTTGGGTTTGTGTTGCTTAATTGAGCTAAATTTTAATTTTTAGTTAAAGATTTTGATTATTTTTATTTGCGCTCGCAACATGATATATGGATTAGTGGTACTGTTTTTTTTTTTTTTTGGGATATTTACTTGTGGGTTATGTGATACATGTTGGTTTGAATCTATGTAACTTTTGTTATATTTGGGTGTTACAGAATTTAACTATCTATTTACAAGTATCATATTTTCCTTTTGTTCGTAGATTATAAGCAGCCATGCAAGTGATGATAATTTTTTTTTTATTTTAATTTGAGAATTATTTGTAGATATGTTTATGAGTCAGATAACTTGTTTGAACTCAAAAATTTATTTCAAATTTTAAGA